TTGGGGCACTCCCAACAAACCTGTCGCGGCCACTGTCACTTCCGTTCCCAATGCCGTTCCCATCGTCGAGGCAGTACCGTTGCCCTTGCCTCCCCTCCCATCGCCGCCTATTCGTCGCCCTCCCTTCCCCTTACCTTCGCGCTCGCTTCCCCTGCCCGTCGCGCTCCCGTCTCCTGCCCGTCGCGCACCCTGCCCTGTTCCCTCGCTTCCCCTGCCCGTCGCGCTTCCTTCTCCTGCCCGTCGCGCTCCCTTACTCTGCTTCGTGCCCTCGCTTCCCTTGCCCGTCGCGCTCCCTTCTCCTGCTCGTCGCGCTCCCTTCTCCTGCTCGTCGTGCTCCCTTCTCCTGCTCGTCGCGCTCAGTTCTCTTGCCCGTCACGCTCCATTCCGTCACTACTCATTTCTGTCACTAATGTGTGTCTTTGCCTCCCCGTCCTTCGCCCTTTCGGGCCTCTCCCTTCCCCGGCACTGCGCCCTCACATCCCCTGTCCGCCGCGCTGAGATCCCCTGTCTGCCGCGCTGAGATCCCCTGTCCGCCGCGCTGAGATCCCCTGTCCGCCGTGCCTGCCCGTCCGCGCGTTCCCGTCCGTGCCTTCCCGTCCGCGCGTTCCCGTGCGTTCCTTCGCGTCCGCGCGTATCCGTCCGTGCCTTCCTGGCCAATTTTATCCGGTCACTCTTCCCGCCACGCTTCTCCGTCACCGTGTTCCAACTGTTGTGCCTAAGGTCAAGGCAATCCGCTTCCCGTTTCCGTTTACACTGCCCGTTCTAAATCGTGTTGTCGAAACAGAAGCCCATGCGGAGTGTCGCTACTCTTAGGCATCAAGGCTCAGCCGCTACTGTTCTGAGACCTTAACAGCAGTTGAGCGACTGCGCGGCCACTTGTCTGCAAGGGAGGAACGTTCTGCCATCCAGTAACGTTCTATTAGGATTGGCCTAATGCGTTTGAGGCCCGTAGACGCCAAATAGGAACAATGCGTAACGGTCCAAATGTTGCCTAATCCTGGTGAACGTGACGCTCCGTGATCGTCCTAGCCTCTGATCAAGTAGGTAGAGCTCGCCTGAAATTCGTGTGGTAGGTGACGCATGTCGAGTGCGTTTTTAGGTTGTTGAGTCCGTGTATCAGGAGGCTGGGCGCTTCCTAGACTTGTGTGGTGTGATAGCCAAGGAAGAAGGGGCCAGGTTTTGTTTGTCGTTTGTGCTTGTTCAAGATTCCTGAAGTAGAATATCGTACAATGCGAAACACTGTGGGGCACAAAACTTTCGCCACCTGTTTCAGGCGAACTATGCTCTCGCCACCCTTCGCCCAACCAGTTTCAAGTTCAGTATTCTTGAAGCCTACACCATTCTAGACTCGGGCTTTAAATGGGGGGGGGGGTTCCTAATGCTATATGCACTTTCGTAATAAACCCCCCTTTCAAAAATGTAACCCGGATTAGACCCCCCTAACTGTAATGTGCTTGTTTCGGATCAATTCGTAGCGAGGAATTGGTCAAAGTAAGTTGATTGGAGCCAGGGCTGTCGCTTGCAGGGCTTTTGCCCTGCTGGACCCTGAATTCAAGGGCTGGGTTGCCCTTGAAAGCTGAAATTGATGGGTTGGAAATATTCTGGCCCTGACTCTTTACAGGGCTGGTTTCGGGCTCAGGCCTGGTATGTAAGGGTAGATTTTAGGCGAGCCCTGGAACAAAATCTTTCGAGCCCCCCCTTGCCCCCCCCCTTCCCCCCCCCCCCCCAACACTCCTCCACTCTCCTCTCCCCTTCGTTTCTAACCTGATTGCATCCATCCTGACAAATTTCGAGTTGCGTGGTTGGTCAACTCAACCAAGAACTTGTGCTTGAGCCAGTCACAGCTCGCTCTCTGTGGAGTGGATAGACGGTTAAGGTTGGGCAGAAGTGCAGAAGAACTATCCTGCGTAGTGATATGACGCTAACTACTTCTCTTTATGTCGTGTTTGCTTGTTGTGGTTCATCTCAGGCGTAGTTGTAAGCTTGGTAGTTGAAATGAGGCTCCAGAAATTTCCGCGCCAAACCTGATTCAAGGGAGGAAAATTTTCCAGCCCTGAAGCCTAAAGGGCCGAGATTCGCCCCAACCCTGCTAAATACAGGGTCATACATGCCAGGCCCCCTGATTTGTCCGGGGGGGGCAAAACGAAACGACAGGCCTGATTGGAGCCAATTGACCATGTGTCAGACGCGCGTCAGTCGCGCGTCAGACGCGTGGTCAAAATATCGCTGACTCATTATTACGAAAGTGGCCTGTGATCCTGTAACACAAGGGTATTTGACATGACTTAAAAACAATGCATATAGGATTAGATCCCGGGTCTATTGCATTTACATCCAGCTAATAGCCCCACCCCCCTTTTTTTCCCGGGGTAAGATTAGACCCCCAGGTCTGTTACCCGGGTAAATACGGTATGTCCGGAAGACATATTGCTGTGCTAGTCAGAAGATCCTTGGATTCCTGCAACACCAGCCATTGCAATGGCCTCATCGAACGAGTAACGTGGATGTTCAACTCGCTGAAGAATCGAGTCAACGGACTCCACATTTGCACCCTCGCCAGACCCAAAGAGCCTCGCATACAGGTCAGACAGTCTGACAACGATCTGGTCTATGTGGGGGCGGCTTGATACAGGCATGCTTGTGCACTGCAGAGCCAGCTGGGTAAGTTGAAGAATGATGTCAGGCGAAGCGTCAAGGCATGGGTCTTTGAGGGTTTCAACATCCAATGCTGCCAGCAGCGGCTCCGCCTGCAAGGGCATGCATTGAAAAGGCAACAACCAGATGACACAATGACATTTTCATGGGCAAGGAACACAAAATTACAATGTCATTTTATGTCAAAAGTGAGGGGCAGAGAAAAAAATAAGAACACACACAAAAAAAAACTCAGATTGACGCGCCTAAGGCAAGTGCAAAGTGCAGAGATTACCCATTGCCTGATGTTGATGTTGTGATCTCCGTCCTGCAGGATCGCCCTCTGGGATGTAAAGAGCTCCAACATGACTATGCCGTAGCTGCTCATGCCATGTGCACACCCCATTCCCACCAATGCCACACACAGCATGCATACAATGTCACATGCCAGGGGATGCAGCACATTCGCCAACGTCATAAGTTGCGGTGCCACAAAGAGAGTGGAAGACGCAACATGGGTTGCATAGGCTGGTGAGGTACATGTATCAGCCCTGATATGGCAACATTGGAAAGGCATCAAGCGGAAAACGCATCATCAAGCAGAACATTGCAGTCGACTTGGCCGAAAGAAAAAGAAAAGAAAAGAAAAGAAAGAAACAAGGAACGAAATAAACTGGCAGGAGTGGACAGCGGTGCAGCATGGATTTAACATCCATCCACCAGAAAGTCCCACAGTGCTTACCAGCCAGCCCCACCTAAGCACCACTTAGATGGCACTTGAAGTGGCTACGAGATTCGCACTCACTGGTACCAGCACAGCACACCACCAGCCACCATATCACCAGGCACTGCACTGTACCACCAGCCATAGTTCCACCAGGCACCGTAGCAGCAGGCGCGGCCCACCTGTACACGTCGTTGGTGGGGGCGGCTTTGCGCGACTTGGAGTATGCGGGGTCCACATAGCCCGGTGTGCCGAGAATGCGCGTCGTGTCACCCGTGCCCTCATCACCCATCCTCACCAGCCCAAAGTCCGCCACCTTGGCCTGCCACGTTGCCATGCACGGGGGGTAGAGGTGCAGTGGGAGAATGCAGTGTGGAGAGGAGAGGAAGGGGAGGCAGATGGAAGGCTTCTTACGCCCAAAGAGGAATCGCATCTACAGAAGATTAACGTACGTGCAAAACATCACCTGTAGAACAGAACAACGAGCCCTGGTGAACATTGCCTGGGTGATTTTCCATAGTGTGCGAGCGCGCATGCATGCGTGACGTGCATGCGTGCATATGTGTGTGCGTACCGTCATGTGAGCATCGAGCAGGATGTTGGCGGGTTTGATGTCGCGGTGCACGATGCCAAAGCTGTGAAGGTACTGCAGCCCACGCGCCACACCCAGCAGCACCTGCAGGCGCTGCTGCAGGGAGGGAGGCGCCAGTGTGCTGCCTGTGAGTGTGCATGTGATGGGAGGAGGGGAAGGGAGAGGCATGATGGGAGAATGGCTATGGGTATGGCTATGGCTATAGTGGTGAGTGTCGGAAGACCTGCACTAGGGATCCCCGATAAATCATAGGGAATAGTTACATGCACGCTTGACGAGGGGTTTATGGACGCACTCACCCGCTACTTAACAATCTCTTTTATCACAGTGGTGTAGTGGCTCGGATTTTGACATGGTATCAGAGCGAAGGTCATGGGTTCGAATCCCCATGTGTGCACACATGCTAGCGCCCATGTGTCGCTGTTGCTGCCGCTGTGCCGTGTTCTAGGGCATCCCAATGAGGGGATGTCAGAAGACCTGCACTGGGTATCCCGATTGATTCTAGGAAGGCTGACAGGCACGCTTGCCTGGGGGGTTATGGGCGCACTCACCCACTACTTAGGAAGCCATTTTATCCCAGTGGTACAGTGGCTGGGATTCTGACAGTGAGATGGTGCTTGTAGAGGGCGTTGAGGAAGGGTGTTGAGAATGCTGGCGTATCTGTCCGTCTGTGAATGCCAACCATGCTTTGCTCACCTGCTCTTACCCACACCTTCTCTTACCCACACCTGCACTTACCCATACCTGCTCTTACCCACACATGCTCTTACACTTGCACTTGCACGTCCACGTGTGCATGCACCCTTACCTTCACCGTCACACCCAAGTTGACCTTCAATTGTGCACCAATGTAGTACAGCCAACAGTTTATCTCTCTCCAATGGCCCACCCCCCCAACCCTTCTCAACCTCTCCAATTTCCCCACCCTTCACAATTTTCCCACACTGCCCACAATTCCCAACTTTCGCACACTCCCCGCCCTTCCCACACTCCCCACCCTTCCACACTCCCCACCCTTCGCACACTCCCCACCCTTCCCGCACTGCCCACCTTTTTGAGCCGCATCAGCGAGGTGGGCGGGCATGCAGGATTGCAGGTCACCACCAGGCATGAACTCGTAGACGACGATCTGCTCGTGCTGCTCCGTGCGCGCATCCATGTGCACACAGTACCCCAGCAGCCGCACCAGGTGCGGGTGGTGCTTCGATGCCATCTGCTCCACCTGCCCATGCCACGTCATGCACCATGCCACGTCATGCACCATGCCACGTCATGCAACATGCCATAAAATGCATCATGGTAGTTGTCAATGCATTGAACTTGCCGAGGGTACACCGCTAGAATGACAGAAACAGAATATGCCAAAAATTGTACCCACGTGTGTACGGTCTTGTCTTGAGGTGGTACTCTGATAGCAAGCTAATCATTGCCAGGATAATTTACTTGAATTTCCTTGTGTCACACTTGAATTTCAAGATGGCAAGTACCCGGTGGTTGTGCTATGGCATGTATGACTAGGGTGCATTGCACACCACACATCATCCAGCAGCATGGTATCTACGACTACACTACAACCGCACAACTCACACATGTCTCCTCTTCATTTTCTCACAACCGCTATCTCTCCTCCGATTCCTCCAGTAGGCATAAGCACACATCTTTATTGGCACTCATCCTGCCTGGAAGGCAGGCACGGCACCTAAGGCGGCTATCATCACAGCAGCGCCCTTGCACCGTGATCAAACTCCCAGCGCTTGTGCTTGCACTCTGTACGCACACACACATGCACGCACACACACATGCACGCACACCCACATGCACGCACACCCACATGCACGCGCACACACATAAACGCACACACGCATGCACGCACACACACATGCACGCACACACACATGCACGCACACACACATGCATGCACGCACACATGCACGCACGCACACATGCACACACACACATGCACGCACGCACACATGCACGCACACACCCACCCACCCAGACGTGATTGAACTCCCAGATTCTCTGTACACCACCCGTACGCACGCACACACCCACCCACCCACACAAGCACGCACCTCTCGGCGGAAGTCCTTGGTGATGACGCGGGCGCGCTTCACAGCCCACACGGTGCACCCATCTGACGGCGCCACTCCCCTGTACACATCACCGTAGCCCCCCCGCCCGATCAGGTTGCCTGGCGACCACTCGTTGGTTGCCTTCACCACCTCCCAGTACGGCAGCTCCCGGCACACCACAGGCCCGCCCGCTGCTGCTGGGGCTGATGCTTCGGGGAGGAGGGGAGGAGGTGGGACGGGGGAGAAGAGGATCCATGGGGAAAGAGAGGCTATGAAGATGTCAAAATGCAAGCGGAGGTGTTGGGAGGATGTTTAGAACGAAGCAGAGATGCAAGCTGGAACTTCAGCAAGAGTCTAGGCTTCCAATTCGTCAACGAAGTGTATCAGAAGCTTATCTGTCGTCATACCTGGTCGACACTCCTCCTCATCACCATTGTCCCCTGCTCCTGCCTTCAACGCCTTTTGCACTGCAGCACTCTCGTGATCATGATGCTCTTTGTGCTGCCGGCGTCGCCACACTAGGAAACCGACCAGGCCAACTAGCAGCACAAGACAAACAATGCCGACCGCAATCGCTGCTATAACCCCTGGTGACACGCCTGGCGATGAGTCTGTTAAGAGTGAAGAGCACGCAGGGGCCTAAGGCATGGGTGTTAGAAATGCCGGTGCTGGGATTCGAACCCGTGACCTTCAATCTATCCTTAACGTGTCTCTGCTAAGGCACTGGTTATAGTGCACGCGAGACTCGAACTAGAGACCTTTTGATATAAGTGTCCCAAAAGAGTCCTTCCATGACAGTTTGGGAACAGTTTCGCAAGACCGGTCTCAGGTCGCGTTCGGATTGAAACTCGGCAGCGAAGTGTCGAAGTCAGCGGAATTCGCACGGGAGTTACAGTCGGTGGTCGACGGGTTCTGGTCGGGGAAATTCTAGTCTACAAAATCCCAGTCAATGGAATTCGTTCGGCGAAAATCAAGGCTCGGAATTTCGCGTCGACAAAATTCAACGTGCAACCCGGGTCGACACCTTTTTTGTGTGCTGTGTTTTCGTATTGCGTTCTAGTATGAAACCAGAGAGCACTAACCAGAAATCAACCAAATCATTATCACTGCTATGGTTGTGTGTATCTTTGGCTATAGTCAAGCGTTTCCTTCAATCTTTGGTGCGTTGGAATCGTGCTTCCGAGCTCTATCAAGCTACTAAAGTAGACGGATTCTACAATGGGACGGAGTCAAGCGAAAGAGAATGCTATACCGTGCACGAGGTGGTGTCAGCACATTGCATATGGTTGAGAGTCCAGAAATGATCGGCATGAGGTGTACCAGCATGGAAGCACTGACGGGGCGAGCAATCCTCAAGGTCTTGATGCAGCAGCCTGGGTCACTCACCTGCAGAGGGCGGCTGTCCTGCCGAGGGTGGCTGAGAGGAGGTGCCTTGCGTGCCTGACTTTGAACTTGGTGGTGCTGATGGTGCTGATGGTGGTGCTGATGGTGGTGCTGATGGTGGTGCTGATGGTGGTGCTGATGGTGGTGCTGATGGTGGTGCTGATGGTGGTGCTGATGGTGATGCTGATGGTGCTGATGATGGTGATGATGGTGGTGCTGATCCTGGTGCTGATGATGGTGCTGATGATGGTGCTGATGGTGATGCTGATGGTGCTGATAATGGTGATGATGGTGGTGATGATGGTGGTGCTGATTGTGGTGCTGATGATGGTGATGATTGTGGTGCTGATGATGGTGCTGATGATGGTGATGATGGTGATGATGGTGGTGCTGATGGTGGTGCTGGTGGCGACGGTGACAGTGGTGGTGGTCGTGATGGTGAAGGGGACGGGGTGGATGGTGGTGATGACCCGCCAGCAGAAGAGACAATGACACACGAGCACGGGGGAATGAAAGTTGGCTAGTGTATGTATGGCACTGGAAAAAATACCAGGCTTCATGCTTCATGGCACTCCTGAGACATACGCATGCAATCTCTCATGTGCGCCTCTCCAGCGGTGGGGCCGTATGGTTCTTGCTTTCGCCTTATGCCGTTGTGTCACCACGACATGCACCACACCCACACCCACACACCTCACCCTGCGTGCACGCCTGTGCAGCAGCAGCGTCACCAGGAGCATACAAACAGCGCATTACGATGAGCAATGCAGCACCATCATCAGCAGATTAACTTCTAATTACGTTATTATGCTCTTGAGAGTACCAGCACAGCAGCTATTACGCCCATCACACCTCACAGGACTGACTCTGGCTTGGCCGCTTGAACTGGCAAGGCGGCAGTGCAGGTGCTGTGAGGGCAACCCAAAGCATGCACCCACAACCACACTCTCTCTACGTGTTGCTTGCACTGCATGCGTGGAGGTGTGAAAGACACGCAGTCTTCTCGACGCTCCTCAGGCGTGATCGAATGGTGTTTGGGGTGAGGTGTTTACTGGGAGCGCAGTAGGGTGAGCCGGTAGCGGTGGCGGTTTGGAAAAAGCCTTTGGGGCAGGAGCAGCCCTGGAAGGAGGTGGTGCTGTTGCGGCAGAGGCCCGGTAGACAAGGGCTAAATGTAGTAGGGTCCGTGCACTGGCTCGCCGGCGCTGCTTCACACATAGGTGGGGCGAGGGCGGGTTGGGAATGGAGGGCGGGAGGGAGGGAGAGTGGGAGGGAAGGAGGGAGGGAGGGATGGACGGAAGGCGGGGCGAAGAAGAGGGTGTGTGGAATACAGAGGGAGGGAGCGGGTGATGGCACACATGGTGTTGGTAAACATGCACGAAATCAACAGAAGTTGGTCGTCAACGCTTGGAATCTGCCGCGTGATGGGAGGACTCCCGCCGTCCGACAAAAGTCGGGGAAGGGAGGGAAGAGGGAGAGAGGAGGAGAGAAAGAGTGGCGGTGGCGAGGCAACAGAGAGTGTAGTACACCGATGTGTATGCTCGCGCTCAAGAAATGTGAGCGGTTGTGCCTAGAGTGCAAAATGCGCATGCAGATGACCCACATCAGCCGCAGACACAAAAAAACCTCGACGCGAGTTGTAATGCCTGCGGGCTAGTGTTGAAGGGCATCCGCCTGCGCCTCTACATCGGGAAAAAAAAGATTGCGGAAAACCTTACAAAAGGCAACAAAAAGGTTGCGGTTTTGATACCTGGGGTTCGGAGCAGTCGTGGATGAAAGCATCGGGAAAAAAACATTTGTGAAGGTTGCTCAAATGTGACTTTGACGCAACAAAACCGAGGGGTGACAAACCTGAAAGAACCTGAAAGAAAATGGATCCGAGTCACCTAACCACGTCACTGTCGAGATGCAAGTGCGTGGCCCGCGACAATGATGTACTACATTAGAAAGCATTTCTTGCGCGGCGAAAACTCACCGTCACTGGCAGGGATGAACCGCGAGGGCGTAATACGCGTACGACCTGTGCCAAGACGCGTGGCAGTTGGTCGGCCGGAAGGAGCAAAGACGGTAGGAGAAGTGCTAGTAGCACCAGGGGCGGGTGCGGCGCTGCTGGCGCCGCGGATGGGAAGCAGCGGCGCCGGGGATGGCGGTGGCGGCAGCGCGGGGCTGGCGGGGCTCCTCCGCGTGGCATCTGTTCCACCATGTGCTGCGTTGCGAAGGTCGCTCGGAAATCGTGAAACGTAACAACTAATAATCTCGACTGATGTAGGTGCTGCTTTACGAAAATAGCTTTGCGAATATAGCTTTGCGAAAATAGCTTCCTGACGAACACGCGACCAAGGCTGTGTGATGTGTTGGCACAAATATGGGTGTCGCAGTCGCCCAAGTCAATTATCGTCAGCAGAAGGGAGGATGAGGGGGCGTGGTGAAAACCCAAGCACGTCCGCTCCACAAGAGACTCGCTAAAACCAAGGGATGATCCTCTGGATTCTGAATTACAACGAACGAAATGTAAGACAAACTATATTCCTCTAAGTTAATAAATAATAATTTCACTCTTCGTCAGAAGCTTCCTGCCAAACAATAGCACTCCTCACCACGTAACATCTAGGTTTTTTGAATTGAGGAAAAATGCTTGAACAATTCAGTAGTTCGATCGGATTGCTATAATACCGTCCTCCCCCGGATATCCGGCAGGCACTGCCTGAGAAAATGGATGTTTATCTTATAACAGGAACTACAAAGGTGTCTTAAAAATCTAATAAAT